CACCTTGGGTTCCCCTCTGGCCTTTTCTCTTAAGGGGCCCCGTCAGGCACTTGAGAGTTAACTGAGCACACTTTTTTTTTAATTCCCAAAACTAAGGACTGAGGGCCAGTTTTTCCATGTCTCTAGCAGTTAACAAAAGTTCTCCGAACACCAGTGGCAGAAGAAATAGAAGGGAAAGAAAGAAATGGTCGTAGCAGTTATTACAAATGTCCTTATTATAACGATGACTTACACTACTGAAGATACACTACACGTTGTGAGCTTTGTGGACATTAACCCTAACAACAACCCCTGTGGGGTTAAGTACTTTTATTATGTCCATGTAACAGATGAGAAAACTTGTTCAAACCATGGCAAGTAACTTATCCAAAATCTTTTCTGGACAAAACTGGGACTCTGACCTGCTGCCTTCTCATTTTAAGGTCATGCTCTTACCTTCTGTATTTTGCTGTGTTTCAAAATGTTACTGGTCAGGAACTGACCACAGACACCCAGCAGAACAGGCAAGAACTGTACCACTGAAGCAGGGTGCTGTCAGTTTTCAGGATCTGAGACTGTATCTCCTCCACTCTGACACCCTGAGAACGGAGTGTGGGTCCATTTCATTTGGTGGTGACAGACGGAACACGGAGGACATTTCCCCAGAATCTAGCACAATATCTGGCACATGGCAGGAATGCAAACGAAATGTGTTAAGTGGATGAAAAAAAATTTTGGTTTGAGATCATTGCTATCTGACAAACTTTTGTTCCAAGGTACTGTCATTTTTAGTTTACATAAATAAACTGATTCTGACAATCTTTTATGTAGAGACTAATATGGTGAACCCCTGGGGAGAAAGAGCCATGTTTAATTTTTACCAGTGCATGTATGTAAATAAAACAATATTCCGCATAGTGCTGCACTAGCTGTGGTTTTTCAGGAGAAATTAAGATCTGGGGTTTGTCCACTCCCAGAAAATGGGCATAGCCTTTTTTCTATTTTCACACCAGAGTATCAGACAAAAAGGAATCCCCCTTCTCCATCCCAGTTGTGAAATTAGGCCAGGTCTCAATGTAAGCACCGCTCCCTCTGAGGAGCCTTCCCAGGCCACCCCCATTGTGAATTCAAGCCCCACAGGATCTGTCTCCCCCACTGCAGCCCTCTGCGGAGTGATTGCCTGCCTATTCATTCACATCTTCCCGGATGAAGACCCACCTACCCAGGACTGGGCTTTATCTTGTTTTGTTGGATTCCCAGCGTCTGGCACAGTGCCGGGCACACAGCAGATGCTCCATATATGTTTGTTGAATGAGAGTAGGCTCTGTCTTTCCCAAATCTCCTCTGTTCAAGAGCTGTTACGTCACTGGAGCTGCTGGCCTGATGGCTCTTGTTGAATGAGCTTATTTATCCTAAGCTCCTGTCCCTTGCTGCTCACCCCTTCCAGTTGATGACAGAAAAAAATGCATTGAGTCTGTGTCTCCTCCCGCCATCTGTCCTTGTCATCAGAGGCATGTGCCCATAGAATGTTCCAGTCAGTGACCCATTTGTCCTTTCTGCTCAGCCAATCAGAACAATAATCACGACATCTGTTGAATGCTTACAAAACGCCAGCACTCTACATCAATTATTTGGAATCCTCATAACAATTCCACAAAGGGAATATTATTACTCTTGTGCATAAGGAAACAGACTCAGAGATCTCACTAGCTCACCCAAGGTCATCCCGTAAAAATGCGGTGAAGGAGGGAAGGAAGGAACAAATGCCTTAACAACCCTGATACTTTGCTACTTTCCTTTTTTTGTTCCCCATAACATTGGAGACAGTTCATTGGAACTGAAGGAGCCAAGTGACTTTGGGGATTTCTAAGCCAAAAAAGCAGAGTAGGGAGGAGGTGACCCTGACAAAGGGCAGCTCTAAGCAGCGCCAAGTTACTCAGTAACCTGAGCCCTGGTCCCCATGGGTGGCCTGGCCAGGCTGGGCCATGGCAAGCCATAGACACTGGTTCCCCTTGGCTACCCTTCAGGTGCCCAGCTGGTCGTAGCTGGAAACTGGAGATAGAAGGTCAAAGATTGGACAAACCCCAGGCCAGGCAGCATGAAAGCTGGTGACAGAGCCAGGGGCCCCTCAGGGGAGGTCTGGGGTGAAGGAAGGTGTGAAAGAGGAGGCCCCCAATTCCTTTAGAGTTTCCAGGGCCAGAGGAGGCAAGAAGGGGCACCTAGAGCCTGACACACTGGGTGAGCCAGGAGAAAACCGTGGACTGGGCCTCTCCACATTAGGTGGTAGGCCAGGGGGGCCCTCACAGGTGGAGCCCGCCAGGGGAGCCCACAGAGGGGCAGGGTGGGCCCGGGGACCCTCAGAAGGGAAGCATTGTCAGGGTCTTGCTCTCTGCTGGACCAAGGGGTGATAGTAGCTGGTGCTCCCTAGTTGTTAAAATATCAATCCCCTCCCCTACAAGTTGGTAGAGAGCTGTTGCCCAAAGGCCTCCAAGTGTACCCTCTAGAGGCTGGCCCAGCTGTCCTGGTCTTTCCAAGGGCTCCCTCTAGGCCTCTCCACAATCCACCAGTTAAAGTGTTAACACCTGCCATGGCAGCAAGGCCTCTAGGACCCAACCTTGTTCCTGGTGTTGACTAGAATCCCAGGAGCTGGTCCAGGATTGGCACTGGATGAACAGTTATTGATGAATGGATGAGCAACAGAGGAGAGGGAAAATCAGAGATCCTGAGGAATTTAGAAAGACTAAGAGAGTCAACAGGTGAGACAGAGATGGAGGAGGCTGGAATCAAGGAGAAAACTCCCAGAGGATGCTGGGAAGGTCCAGCTGACTGAGCCTTGCTCTCTCTTGTTCTGCAGCTCTTGAAGGCTCTTCCCCTCATAGGGCCTTTCCAGACACACAGCCTGGGCAACCCAGAGTAATCCGCATGCCCAGACAGGGTTCAGAAAGCAGGCTGTGTCCCTGGAGCAGGAAGGCTGAACCTGGGAGGATACCCAGATGCTGAATTATACAAGAATTACTATCCAAAGACCGTTGACCAGACATCTACTTCCCACACCACGCCACAGAAGGAGCTAGAAAACAGCCTTCTTGCTGACCAAGTAGAGAGCCTCTGGGCCAAGGGCCAGGGGCCACTGAGTGCCAGAGAGCCTGATTGGTCTGCTGAGGGCAGTGCTACGAGAAGCTGCTACCCAGAGGCTGACCCCGCCCCCACCCCCATGCCTGACTGGCTGGGCACTTAGATCAGGGAGTTGGACACCCAGAATGCAACTGTCTCCCAACCCACACTGGCCCAGAGGCTCAAGCCCATGAGGGGTCAGGGAGAGGAGGTAAACTCAGAGAAGGACAGAAGGGGAAGCGAGGAGAGGGGTCAGGGCCTCCACTGTCACCTCCACCCTTAACGATTCCTGAGAAGGGGCAAGTTCTTTCCTAGGAGGATCCCCACTCTGCATCTGCTCTGGGAAGGGGCTGGCCCCTGTGAACCTGGGCCACGTCTTCTGGGAATGGCAATTCTTCCTTCAGGCAGGGATCTGGAACATCTTTGCAAATGCCTGCAAGCCCCTTCAATATGACAGCCCCTCAGACAGTGGGGTGGCATTGCACACAGAGCGCTTCCCTTCCCCTCAGCCCCTCTGAGACTGGCCTTCAGCTTCTCTTCTTTGAAGACTCTTGCGGCCCGCAGGTGTCAGAACCCACGGTGCCAGGCCTTCCACCTATTTAGAGCCCTCCAGTGGCCCAGCACCCACCGGTTAGAGGTCATGTGCCTTAGCAGGGGCTTCAAGGCCTCTCTAGACCCCCCACCTCCAGCCTCAGCTCCTAAACACACTGGACACTCACACAGCCAGGCTTCTGTCTATGCCGGACCTTTTCTTGAAATGTCCCTCTTCTTTCTTCACTTGCCCAGTTTCAGCGTTGTCCTTCTAGACTGCCTGCGGACATCACCTTACAGGAAGCAATCCTGCATCTCCATGCCCCCCGCATCCCCACTTCTGTGGGTTCTGCAGCCTCTCCTCCTGGGTCCCTACAGCCTCTGTGCTCTCCAGGGTCACACATTTACCCCAATGGCAATTAAATTCCATCCTAAGTGTCTGTCTCCCAACTGGACCAGGCTTCTGGAGGGAGGGGTCATCTGGTTCACCGCTGAAGCCTGACTCACAGTAAGTGTCCCCTCACTGTCCACCAGGTCCCAGTGGATGCCATCTTGCTTGTGTAACAAGGGACTCTTGACTCCTACGTGAGAAGACCCTCCTTCCATCTGGCTTCCCTTCCTTACAGCTGCTGAGGCAGACCAAACCCTCCCGCATTCACACGGGGCTGTGCAGTGAAGCCCGGTGTCAGCGTGGCCCCTTCGCGGCCTGCTGCCCTATGGTGGGGTGCAGAATGGGGATGGGGGGCTGAGGAGGGCTGGATGGGGGAAGCAACTGGGCTGCTGAGGCTCAGACCTCCCCAGATGGGTTAATCATCAATGCCTGGAGAACCATCTCTTTACCTCCATTCTCCATCTGGATTTTTTAGTTTGGAAAACATTGAGTAATCCCTCAACTGTCTCTTGTGTTAACCCTGGAGGGGCCAGGCCAGGGCCTTTAAGGGCCACTTATTCCTTGGGAAACACTCTCTAACACCGGTTTGTTTTGTTGTTTTGGGGGGGGCAGGGCCGCTCCCTTCCTCTCTCCCACGCCCGCAGCTCTGTCCCCAGCAGGCAGAATACGAGCGCTTTTCCAGGGTTATTTCCAAGAAGCGGGACCGACCAGAACAGCTCCAGGGTCGGCGGGGCAAGGAGAGACAGGATCCGGGGGTCCGAACGCCCCCACCCCTCCCAGTCCTCGCGCTACCTCGGGCCTGGGGCTCGGGACCCCGCCGCCCTTCCTCCCCCGGCGGGGGCCGAGCGCGGCAGAAGGCTGAGCCTCTTCGGGGCGAGGCCCCTACGTGGGCGGGCTCTGCGGTGGGCGTGGTCTGGCTCCAGGAAACCCGTCCGGCCGGCCCAGGTGTGTGTGTCGGTGCCGCGCGCCCAGCGCCTGAGCCAGAGCCGGAGCCTCGCAGCTTCCGCCCCATGGCCGGGTCCCCGCGCCGCGCCTCGGGCCGGCGCCTGCAGCTCCCCATGCTGTGCCTCCTCCTCCAGGGCGCCACCGCCATCCTCTTTGCTGTTTTTGTCCGCTACGACGACGAAACCGACGCTGCCCTCTGGCACGGGGGCAACCACAGTAAAGCGGACAATGAATTTTACTTTCGCTACCCAAGTGAGTTCGGGTGAGGGAGCGTGGGGAGCAAGGACATCAAGGAAGGAGCATTTGGGTGTCCAGACCTACCCCTAGGTGGTAACCCTCTAGCTCTGAGATGGAGGTGCTCCCGATTTATAATAACGCCCTTTCACTAGTGTCTGCTGTGCTCCAGGTATTATGCTGAGGGCGGCATCTGCATTATCTCATTTACTCCATAAATTAGACAGAGGTGGGGAAACAGAGGTTCAGAGAAGTGGCTGGTTCAAGGGTACGTTGTCATAACTGAGGGAGCTGGGATTCAAACCTAGATCCGAAGCTCCATTGTCCCACCTCCCAGTTGGCCTAATTGGGCTTTGCTGGACTGTTCCAGAGAATTTGCCTTTCCTAGGGCCTCCACCCTGACCACAGGAAAGAGAATGCGTCTGGGCAGGGGAAATAGGGAGTGGCCTGTGGCATGTAGTAATGGCAGGTATTAGGTTCAAAGGCAGTCAAGACTGGTGGAGCTCAGGCATTTCTCCCCCAGAGCTGGCCCTTGCAGAGTCTGAGAGAAAATGATGCAACTACCTACTAGCCAGCCACAGATTAGCAGCCCCCAGTCCTGAGAAGGAGGCGTGGCAAGGTCATCAGCCCATTTAACAGGGGAGGAAGCTGAGGGCTCAAAGAGGTTATGACTTGCTCATGATCATCCACCATGGGTGTGGTAGAGTAGGAGCTGGGGCTCCAGTACCCCGAGCCTTATACCACAGTTCACCTGCCTGCTGGCAAGGCCCAGGAAGGGGACGATTAATCCCCTGACACCTGCAGGGGACAGAGCCTCTCAAGATTGGAGGGCCCAGCCTGTGACTCTGGTCCTGGGCAGCTGGGACCAAGGATACCAGATCTCTGAGACTTCATCACAAATGCTTGGGGAGGTCTTCTCCAAGCTCCAGATTCACCATCTGGACAACGGGGAGAAGGATGCCTCAGTTTGAAGGATATACATTCAAACAAGGCCCAGAGTGTGAATCTCGTATAAAAAATCACAGGCTGTCATTACCCTACTTTCTGTATGCAGAGCTGGCAGCAGGCTGTCCCCACCTGACCCTCTCCCAGCCGCAGCATGACAAAATGAAGCTCACGATGTTGAGGACCTAGAGGGTGAGGTGGAGGTTTGAAACTGGGCATGAAGTGCCAGACCCCCAGATATCCTGGGCAGAGGGGATGACAGCCCCTCCCTCACCCCAGCCCTGGCTGGACAAGGTGAGCCATGGAAGCTGGGACCAAAGCCAGAGCCATAGGGCTGGAATGGCAGACTTTTGGGGCCATGCATTTGTCCAGAGAGATAGGGAGTTGAAAACATTGAGTAATCCCTCAACTGTCTCTTGTGTTAACCCTGGAGGGGCCAGGCCAGGGCCTTTAAGGGCCACTTATTCCTTGGGAAACACTCTCTAACACCGGTTTGTTTTGTTGTTTTTGAGGGGGCCGTGCTGCTCCCTTCCTCTCTCCCACGCCCGCAGCTATGTCCCCAGCAGGCAGTCAGCTCTTGTCCAAGGGTCTTACTTGGCCGCACGCCATGAACACCTGTTTGCTCTTCCCCTGGGCCTCACAGAAGGCCTCCAAGCCCTGCTTGTTTCAGAGGCCTCCCTGAAACTCGGCCAGCTGCTCACCCCTCTGTTGTAGTGGTGGACTCTCCTCAGAAACAGCTTGTCCACCCTGTATTGCAGTAAAGGATATGGCAATGGGAGTTCCCCCCCTTTTTCTGACCTAGGTTTCCACCCCTATGGACTTGGGACCCTGGTGCGGGGGAAGGTAGGTGAGGTCCCTGGAGCCTGTGGCTTTGATGAGCCAGGTCTTCACCTGTTCTTGTGTCCAGGGGAAGAGATCAGGGTCAGAGTGGGTGTAGCCTCCGCCCTTTAATTTGGGAGATGAAAGGAAGCTCTGCAGCTGTTGTTGCCCGGGGCAACTAGCCAGCGCCAAGGGTATGGCTGCCTGGAGGGTCTGTCTATTAGGGCTGTTGGAAGGGCCCTCAGAGCACATCTGATCTACTCTACTGAGATGTGGCAAAAGCCAGAGAGAGTATGCGACTGCCCAAGATCACACAGCAAGTTAGCCTGGCTAGAACCGGGTCTCTCGGTTCTCTATCTGCAGCCTTCACCCCACGTTACAAACTTCTTATCCCATTAGGCAGGTAATGGAACAAAAAAAGAAGGAAAAAACCTGCGGTTACAGGGACCACTGAAGCAAACATGAGAAAGGGTTCTAAGAAAAAAGTACAGACAGGTCCTTTTTTATAAATCTCTGAGAACTTGCTCTTTGGGAGAGGGATTTAGGATAGATAGAATCAGGATCTTCTTGAAGAGGTTGGGGAGGGAGATGTGACTGGTACCAGAGTGGTTTGTGTGACCTCTTCTGGAAGAATACAACCCCATCTGCCCCCTTACAGGCAAGAGGGGACATAGTAGAGGGGATGGCCTCCCCAGCTTGCCTCTTACTTTTCCTGCTTCTCACAGTTTATATCCCCGCTTTACAGATGAGGAAACTGAGGCTCAGAGTGGTTAAGTGGCTTGTCCAAGGTCACACAGCCAGAAGGAGGGGACTGTCAGCTTTAACTGTTCCCTTGGCCCATAGTCTTAATCTTGTTCAGGAGTCATCTAGTGGGGTTGGGGAGGGACAGTTAGAGAAGGAGGGAGGGCAATGGGTGGCTCTAAAGGGCTTTTATCTTCTCTCCCTTGAAGGGATCCGTGAGGGGTCATCTTACCCATCCTCCTGCCTCCAGCTGGCATAGCTCATGGGGTGTGTTTGTGTGGAATATTCCCCAGTGAAGGAGATTTCTTGATGTTTAGGCTCCAGTTGAAAGGCCAAGGGATTGAGTTTTTGTTGTTTGGGTTTTTTTAATCGTCAACTGAGGAAATGCTTATTGACTTTTAGAGAGTGGGGAAGGGAGTGAGAGAGAGAAACATCAGATGTGAGAGATGAACATTGATTGGCTGACTCTCATATGTGTCCTGACCAGGAACTGAACCCTCAACCCAGACATGTGCCCTGACCGGGAATCAAACCGGCCACCTTTTGGTCTGAGCCACACCAACTGAGCCACACCAGCCAGGGTAAGGGATTGAGTTTTGATTCCAAACAAACATGGGGTGGGAGATATAAATATTATTGCCATTTACAATGAGTTCTGGCCCTGGCTGGTGTGGCTCAAGTGGATTGAGCGCCGACATGTGAACCAAAGGCTTGCTGGCTCAATTCCCAGTCAGGGCACATGCCTGGGTTGTGGGCCAGGTCCCCAGTAAAGGGTGTGCAAGAGGCAACCACACACTGATGTTCCTCTCCCTCTCTTTCCCCTTTGTCTAAAAATAAATAAATAAAATCTTAAAAGCAACAACAACAACAAGTTCTGGAGCGGTTTCGGCATGCAGTGGGCACAGAGCCCTGTGACCCAGCGCCCTTCGTTATCCTGCTGTCCTTGGGCAAAAGAACAGACGCGGCATCCTCTTTATTGTTTGCACAGGGAGGAAAGAAAGTCAGGCAGTGAGATCAAAAAGAACTTAGGCTGTGGGCTGAGTTCTAAGTGATGTCTCTCCTTTTCTATTGGGTTTTAAGATCTGGGAGAGAAGAGAAACCCGGTTGGTTTGGGTAAAGGGCAGGGGTGGAGAAGTGGCACAGTGTTGGGGACATTTAGGGAGGCGAGGGTGCTCTATATCCTCATTCCCTTGGTCGCTGGGCCTGGCGGCTGAGCTGCAGACCTCCACTTCCAGCACACACCCAACCCTCTACCAGGGGCTTACAAACTCATTTCTTATCAGCCCATATATAGCACAAAAAAAAGCATAAAAGTTTGCTTCTCTCAAACTTGGTGATTACACTCTGAAGTTCAATAATAAATTTTTGGCTTGTTGGTGCTTCTTCAGATTAAACAAAAAAAGTGACCATGATTTTGTTTTCTTTATGGTCTGCCTCTTTCTACAAGAGACTTGAGGTCATTTACAACAAAAGGTGTGTATAAGAAATGAAAGTCAACCCTGGCTGGTGTGGCTCAGGGGATTGGGTGCCAGCCTGTGAACCAGATGGTTGCTGGTTCGATTCCCAGTCAGGGCACATGTCTGGGTTTGCGGGCTGGGTTTCCAGTGAGGGTTGTGAGAGGCAACCGCACGCTGATGTTTCTCACCCTCTCTTCCCTCCCTTCCCCTCTCTCTAAAACTAAATAAATAAAATCTTTTTAAAAAATGTAAAATTCTCAAAATGGAGAGGTATAGATTCTGAAATATGAGGGGTGGAGGTTAGACATCAAGAAGGACTTTTCAGTGGACTTTTCCCAAATTGAAGAGAAGCCTGAAAGGCAAGAGAATTTTGATCACGGTGGGGCAGGAATTGCAGCAGGAGAGACACAGGTTGGACTTTTTTGGCAGGTGCTTATAAGAGCCCAGAGATAGGGCAAATTAGGGGTGCAGAGAAGAGAGCAGAAAAAGGCTCTACTCCCTTGCTCTGGCATGGGGACATCAGGGATGGTCTGGTTCCTGCTGCCTCGTTAGGCAGCTAGACACAGGTGGCCCAGGCCGCCATGCCTGAGGGGTTTGATAGCTCGGCTCCAGCATCAAGAGCTTGGGGCCCCAGCAGGGTGGCTGCTGGGTTTGTGGGTAGTGGCCAGAGCAGCCCCAAATGCCCCCTCAGGCTTCCAGGACGTGCACACCATGGTGTTCGTGGGCTTCGGCTTCCTCATGGCCTTCCTGCAGCGTTACAGCTTCAGCAGCGTGGGCTTCACCTTCCTCCTGGCTGCCTTTGCCCTGCAGTGGTCCACGCTCGTCCAGGGCTTCCTGCACTGCCTCCACGGCAGCCACATCCGTGTCGGCGTGAAGAGGTGGGCAGCAGCTGCCTTCCCTGCTCCCCCCAGGTCTCTCGGGAGGCCCTGCCCACAGGACCCAGCTTAAGCCCTGTCCTCCAAGTTGCTTTATGGCACGGGGCTCTGGCCCGCTAGTTGATTTCTCTTAGGTGCCCTGCCTGTTCTTGTTGCCTGATTTCTTCCCCCACCTCAGTCCACACACCCAGCCATACCCCCCCCCCCATTTTTTTAGGCACCTTACTACCCCAGAGCTGTTGGGAGGGTAGAGAGCCTCATGGAAAAGGGCCGGACTCAGAAGAGCTCCGAGGCCAAGATCCGGTTCTCCCATCTGTTGGCTTTGTTCACTGAGTCCCAGAACCTACCTCCCTGAGACTGGGTTTCCTCAGCCACAAAGGGGCAAGGTGATCCCTTCCCACCTACTAGGGAAGAACTTAGTAGGCTCATTTCCTCCTCCCCTGAGCCCCTGTCCCCAGGGCTCCCCCCCACCTTCCCATCCCAACCTTCCAGCATGATCAATGCCGACTTCTGCGCTGGGGCTGTGCTTATCTCACTTGGTGCTGTACTGGGCAAGACGGGGCCGGCCCAGCTGCTGCTCATGGCCCTGTTGGAGGTGACACTGTTTGGCATCAACGAGTTTGTGCTCCTTTATTACCTGGGGGTGAGTCTAAATGGGGATGGAGCGCGGGGCTGAATGGGGGAGGCCAGGGCCAGGCCCTGCGAAGGAGGGGGTGGGGTGGGGGCAGGGCTTCCCCTTCACCTCAGCTCTGTCCCCTCAGGTAAAGGATGCAGGAGGCTCCATGACCATCCACACCTTTGGTGCCTACTTTGGTCTGGTACTCTCACGGGTCCTCTATAGGCCCCGGCTGGAGAAGAGCAAGCATCGCCAGGGCTCTATCTACCATTCGGACCTCTTTGCTATGATTGGTGAGGCCTGCCAAGGTGGGGGTGGGAGGGTGGGAGCCAGTTCCCGGCACCCCTGATGTGGGCCAGAGAGGGCCATTTCCAGGCAAGGTTTCAGGGTGCTGCCTGTAGTCTTTGAGGTTCTGGCTGAGAACTCCCTACTTGGATTCTTCTGGGTGAGTATGGTGGACCTGTGCTCCTCCTCCTCAACGGTTTTAACAGTTTTAACAGTTGTTAGAGCTCAGCCCTGGGGTATGCACAGGCCATCCCAGGGGACTTCCAAAAATGTTGACACCAACCCCTGCTTAAAACCCCTGAGGGCCCTCCACCCACAATTTGGAAACCAGACCCATCAGCCTGGCACACAGCCCTTCGCCCTCTCCCTCCCTCCCCACTCAGCCTCCCTCTCACTAGGCTTCTCCCATCGCTTTCCTCCAGGCCCCTGCCCTTCGTGCTGCCTCCCAACTTCTAAGGACAGTTCCTTCCAGACGCTTCCCCCAGCAGCCTCTGCCCCTGGGGTTGGGAGGTTGGAAGCCACAGGTCACCCCTGCGAGGAGTGGGGTTTGACCTGTGAACACCAGTCACCACCATCTTTCTTCCACCCTGACTTCTGCCCCTCTCTGTACCTTCATAAATGAGCCAGGAAAGGAAATTGATTCATTTTTTTTCCATTGGCAGTATTGCAAAGTTACTGAAGTGCTTATTCTTACCCTAAAAAGAGTGGTTGGTTTTCTATTTCTTGCTCTGGGTTTGTCGTGAAATAGAATACATGGAACCTTGGGGCAGCTGAGGCCTCCTTGCCCTTTGAGACCTAGATAAGTTTGGCTTGAAGTCCAAAGGCTTCCCCAAGATTTCCATGCCCAGAGGCCTACATTCTCAGCTCTGCTCTGCCCCCTAGCCCCTCCTAGACAGGACAGCAGACCTTCCCTTGGGTCCTCCCCAGGCTGTCCCCTCAGAGCACTGAGGTGTGCGTGTGGTGGGTTTTCTGCAGACTGTGGGGCTGCAGGGAGAGGTTAAGGGGCAATCCCTCCAACCTCCTTGCCATACTGGCCCAACCCTAAAGGGTCCCAGCCGTCCCTCACTTTGTCCCTTGGTTCCTCCTCCTCCCTCCACGACTGACCTGGGAGCCTCACGTGGGCAGGCAAGGCATATGGCGCCTCAGTTCTTACCCCAGAAGGCACAGGCCCAGCCCGCCCGGTGCTCCGCACACAGAGGTCCCTCCTGCACATTGCAGGGTCCCCCCTCTCTGAGAGGTCATTGAGGTTATAAAACAAATTATTTTCCTGGCCTGTATATCGAGTACCCCTCAGCTTAGTGCCTGAAATGTAGTGCACTTTGTCTTTTTTTCTTTCCTGATACTTTAAAAAACAACAAAAACAACAACAAAAAAATCTGAGCCCTCTGTGGTTTTCAATCCAGTAGCTCCCTTTTGTGCCAGAGCCCATCCATAGCCACTGTTTGTTGAGCGTTTGGTACCTGCTAGACCCCGGTCGATGCGCTTCATGGGTGCCGCCTCATTTAGTCCTCACTTTATGAGGCAGGTGTTATTATCCCCACTTTACAGATTAGGAAACGAGGCTGCTGAGAGAAGGTGACTTACCTCTAGTTACACAGCTTGTACCTTGTGGGGAGCCATTTACTTCCTCTCACTCTGCCTCCCTGCCCACCATTTAGGGACCATCTTCCTGTGGATCTTCTGGCCTAGTTTCAACTCTGCACCCACTGCTCTGGGGGATGGGCAGCATCGGACAGTCCTCAACACTTACTACTCCCTGACTGCGAGCACCCTCAGCACCTTTGCCTTGTCGTCCCTTGTCGGGGACAATGGGCGGCTAGACATGGTATGGGGAGGAGGCCTTGGGAGAACTGGGAGGGGAGGAGCGGTCTGATGCCCTGCGAGTCCGATTCTCCAGGGGAGCAGGTAAGGGCACAGGCCACGTGGCGTTCCGGCCGCCCTGGAGGCAGGGGGATCAGTGCGAGATGATGACACAACGGCAGGAAAGTTAGAGGCTGGATGGTGGAGGGACTTCCAGAAGCAGTAGGCGCCCCTGTGGTGGATGGGCTTGGGTCTACGTGGGTGTGATGATTTGAAGGCGCCTCTGATGCCTTGCCCTTCCCTGCTTCCTTAGGTCCACGTCCAGAATGCTGCCCTGGCTGGAGGGGTCGTGGTGGGGACATCAAGTGAAATGATGCTGACACCCTTTGGGGCTCTAGCAGCTGGATTCCTGGCTGGAACTGTCTCCACACTGGGGTTCAAATTCTTCACGGTACAGACGCCTCTCGAGCCCTGGGCAGGATGGGCGTCTCCAACAGGCCGGGGGTAGGAGGAGCACACGAGACTCATTATTGGTGTCCTGTCCTCCAGCCCATCCTTGAGTCAAAATTCAAAGTTCAAGACACATGTGGCATTCATAATCTTCATGGGATGCCTGGGGTCCTGGGAGCCCTACTGGGGGCCCTCGTGGCTTGGCTGGCCACCCATGACGTTTACGGAGATGGGTGAGTTCCCCCCATCAGTGCACACTGAAGTCATTATCCCCCTGAAATGACCTCTTTCTCTCTCCCCCCAGTTCGTGCACCAACAAAAAAAAAAAAGCTGTGTATTTTTCAGTTACTCATCCATATTCTGGGAGCTGAGGAAACAAGTGAGCAAGGCCGATGAGGGGACTGCCTTCCTGGTCCTCAGTCAAGTTTAGCAGATCATTGAACAGATGATTTCAATAGTGTTACCAAAGGGTCAGTAAGAGAGAATGACGCTTAGGAGTGACTTGCACATCAGGGCTCAAGGGAGAGGGCAGGCAAAAGTGACCCTCAAGCTGAAGCTTGAAAGGTGTGTGGGTTTCTACTGTCACATGAGGGCGGGAAGGTGCTTCAGGCTCCCAGAGACAAGACTCGGCCTGCGGGCTCCTGAGGCCCTTCGGGCCTCCACATGCTGCGCGCTGCGCTGCACTGACCAGTCCTGTCTCCCCACACCCTCTCCCTGCAGCCTACACAGCGTGTTTCCACTCATAGCTGAGGGCCAGCGCAGCGCCACATCTCAGGCCGTTTACCAGCTCTTTGGGTTGTTTGTCACACTGACGTTTGCCTCTGTGGGTGGGGCCTGTGGAGGTGAGTGACCTTGGCTGGGGGTGGGAGGTTGGCAGGAACTCCAGGGAGGGCGGAAGACAGAGAAAGGGAGTTCTCTGGAGGAAGGGCCATTGGATCCCATCCCACTGGCATTCATTTACTTTGATATTTATTGAGCGCCAACTTTGTGCCAAATGGGGAGTGGGGTTATAGAGTTCAGGGGTAACCTCCTCTAGGTAAGGAGGAGCCAGTGGGCACATGCTTCCTCTTGGTGCCAAGGGAAGGTAGAGCTGTGACTAGGGACAGTGTTGGGTTCCTCTACTTCGGTTCCGTGGCTTCCCTGTGCTGCTCCCTCTACCCACTAGAGGGCAGTCCAACCTCAGGCTGAGTTCCCGGAGAGGATGCTGAGCTCTCTCTCTTGGTTGGGGCAGAGACGGAGCCAAGGAGTTGGCTAGGCTTACTGGTAGACTGCAGCACAAAAACTTTCCACAGAGGCAGACCGCCCCCTGATGGGGGGTCGGACAGTGCTTCCTGATTTCTGGCCTTAGTCCTTTTGGCTTTCAAAATAAAACCTATGATTCAGTATCTTCACCCTCCTGGCTCTCAATTCAAGATCTTCCTTCTCAGACAAGATTCAGTTCTTTCACTCATCTGATTATTTATTCAATAAGCACTTTCTGCACCCCTCCTGGATGGGAGACTGCAGAAGGCTTAGCAGCTGTGGTTTGTGACAGAACCACTATTTGGTTCATTACCAACTGTACAAAACTGAAATGAATTACTTCTCTGAACCTTAGTTCCTTCTCTGTAATATAGGGTCCCATTCATCTTCAGGATCACTGTGGTTACTCAGGAAGGCAATGCTTGTCAAGCCCTTTGCACGGGGCCTGGCCTACAGTAGGCGCTCGACAAATACGGCTGTGACTTGCCTGGGCTGGGCATCCTGCTGGCCCCAGGCCGTCCAGCTCCTCTGTGCGTTGTGGCACTGGTGGCAGCCTCTCCCATGGGGGCAGCAAAAAGCCTCACACATCCTCCCCACCACCACCAGGGCTTCTCCTGAAGTTGCCATTCCTGGATGCCCCCCCAGACTCCCAGTGTTACGATGACCAGGTTTACTGGGAGGTAAGACTGAGCTGCAGCCCCTCAGGCCCACAGGGCCCTGTCACCCTCCCCTGCCTCCTCACTCCCCTCTGGGGCACACCCAAGCTGTGGCATCCAGCCGCCTGGAGTTACCCCTTCACCTGCTCCCCAACCCCTGCCCTCCAGGTGCCTGGGGAGCATGAGGATGAAGCCCAGGGACCTCTGAGGCAGGAAGAACCCGACACTCAGGCCTAACTTGCTTCCAGCCCTTGAGAGGATGCTCTCCGTTTAGAGGATAACAACTGGCTACAATGGGGGAGTTATTTGGTGGCTCCCATCCTTCGTACTGCAGGAAAGAAGTCACAAACTAGAGGAGCCTCCTTTCCATCGGCAGCACTGGGGGAATGACTAGAAGGCCTGGGAGATGGTGGAGGAGCAGGGCTATAACTGGTCGTGGCGGGGGAAGAACTCCCCAGCAGCCCCACCCACCATCACCCTCCACCCTGCCACCTGTAAGCGAGGCACCCAAGTGACGGCTGACCCACTGGCCCAGCATCACACAGTTACACGGTGTGAGCCAGGGTCTGGCTCTGTGAGCGTGATAAACACCATCATCACCAAGGACTCTGACTCCCTTTTTTTGTGCACTGGGGATTTGGGAAGTTCCTTTTGCCTTCTAACTCGCAAGTGTTAGAACCTAGGGGTGGGAAACATCCCACCTCCCTGGGTCCGTGGAATTCCCTCTAGGATGCTGTGTTCTACCAGGTGGGCACCCAGCCTGAGCTTGCCTGCCTGAAGAGAGGGAGCTCATTCTCTCTCAGAAAGCTTATGTCTGTTATAGGACAGCTCGGGCTGCTGGAGATTCTTATATTCCAGAAGTGCCGCCACTCTGACCCTCAACTTGGGAGGCTTCAGAGCAGAGTAGGAAGGAGGCAGCCACAGGGCCCAAGAGGGGAATAAGGAGTTCTTTGCTACTAACTTCTCAGAAGCTGGAAGCAGCTGGACATCACCTGATGTCTCTGCTCCAAGTCTGAAGAGTGGAGGAAAACATGAGAGTTGCCTCTGAGGATGGGAAGATGGGTCCAGGGCCTCTGACCACCTCAAGTCATTTGACCACCAGAGGGCACTCCAGACCCAGCAGAGGAAGATGTGGCTTTCCTGCCCCTCCATCCTCTATCGAGTATGGAAGTCCTTCCAATAGCCTAACTGCCTTCCTGTCTGCTTCCGCTCTGGTCCTCACCATCCATGCCACAACCTTTTCTTAGCTCCCAGCCTCCACTACATGTCAGGTGGGCGCTAGGGCTTTCCGATCTTAAGCAAACAGAGAATCTATTCCTCCAGTAGACCAGAGCTCCTTTCCCAACCCTGAAGGAGTGGGATCCCCCCCTCTGCAGCACTGTATGGGAACCATTCCTGCCCACAGCCCAACTATGCTCCCCGCCCTGCCCCCCACCTTCAGCTCCCTCCTTCCTCTGCAGCTTCCCTGCTTAGTACTGGCTGCAGTAGGTATGTGGGGAAAATTCTGGTGCTGAGGCGGAAGGATGGCTGCTGACATTGCAAAGAAGTTCTTGGTCCTGTCAGCCCCTGCTGGGAGGGAAGGCGTTTGAGGGAGCTGAGGCCGCAGCCCCCACTCCACTGTCTGAGGCCTTAGCTGCCAGTCCTGCCGACCTGCTCTGCCCAAATCTCCCCAAGCAGTCCTCAGCTACCTGAAAGACCTCAGGTAAAGGAAGATTCAAGGGTAGAATGGGATCCCTCCCTGCCGCAACTCATTCTGGGTAGAGAAAGCCATCCGTATGCGTTCATGACATCTACATTTTCTTGACCTGATCCCCGCCCTCTACTGCTGGTTCCTCCTAGACTACACCTAAATCTCCTCTAGGCCGGAAAAAATGGGCTGCTCCAGCCCAGGCTGGTCACGGCCCTTCTCAATCCAGGGAGGCTTCCTAGAGAAGGGACAACTGAGCCCTCTCTGGTGGAGGGCAGTTACTGGCCCAGATTCCAAGAGAGAAAAGGCCACAGGTCCCAGGATGGCCCACTAAGAGGTCCTGGAGAAAGGATGAGCAGAGTGGCTGCTGCCCCACAAGAGATGGCCCTGCATCTCTTGTACCCAGGTAGTTTCAAGCTCTATGACTCCCATGAGGCCTTCTGTGGCCTGAGAGATGTTGCTGAGCTCTGGCCGATGGCTCGCGATACTCTGTCCAGGGCTGAACTCTGCTAAAACAGGCCCTTGGTTTTTCACTCTGCATTTTCTCCTCTCTACCCCCAAATTTTCCTCTAATAACAAGCACATTGGTCCATAGATTGTCCATTCAGCTGAACTCAGCCATCATTCCATTTGCGGTCTGGGCATGGGGGTCGTTTTCCCATCATTGCCTCCGGCAGGGAGCTCACGCACAGCACAGGGAAGACAGGTAGGTATTCCTGCGGCCTCGGCTGAGCTGGGACCCACCTCTTCCTTTGTCTTCTCTGTCGTCTCTGGCTCAGCACTGTTGGTCCCCACATGGTGGGTTGTCCATTCAGCCTGGGTCAACAGGGTGACAATGAGCAGGTCAATCAGATGGCAGGGACGGGGGCCAAGGGGGCCCATCTTCACCCCCTGAGGACAATGAGGCCTCTGCCCCTGGGACGGCCCCTCTGATCACTGCCATTATTTCTCTCGATGCAGGACAATCAGACACTTGCCCACTCGTGAACTCTGTCTGTTCAGCCCCAATGTCTGAGCTCTGGGGACAATGATGGACGAAGACACTGGGCCCCTGTTCATCTCCCAGAGCCTCACTGATGGGGGAGACAGGCTGCGTTGAGGTCAGTCCGTTTTGAAGCCAGCAGAGCCAGAGGCATTAAGAGCGGAGTTTCTGGAAGTGGCCACTGTTCTGGCTTGGCACAGTATGTGTGAGTGACAGCACCTGCTTGGACATCTGGGTGGGAGACCCAAGGTGCCCCAGGGGCCTCAGGGTGCTTCTGTGCCTGTGTGGCCAGACCTCCTTGGTCAGGAGCCGGGAGCTACTCCCGTGACCTCTAGAGGACCCGAGCTCTGAGCGCGGGGCGGGCCTGGGAAAGGGACGAGATCCGTTCCCACCCCCACCGCCCCCGATTGGGATTCACATCACGGCGCACAGCGGCCCCGGCGAGGGGAGGAATTAGACACGGCATGGGTGTCCGAAGTGGGGCGTGGTGGCCGTCCCAGGGCAGACAGACCCGGCAGCCGCGACCCCCCACCTCACCCCGATATTCTCTCCCACCGTCAGGATCTCCCCACCCGCCGCCTCCCGGTCTGCGCCCCTCTCCTTTGTCTGGCCCGCCCGCCCGCAGCCGGGTCCCCGCGCCGCCCAGCGCCCCGGCCCATGCGCCCGCCGCCGCCGGGAACCGCCGGGAACAATGCGAGCCAATGTCTCCGGACGGCGAGCCGGCTATGCAAATGCCAACGGCCTGTGAGAATCCCCTCTGCCGCCGCCCGGCCTCCGCAGCCTGAAAGGGGTGGTGTGGGGGAGGCGGTCACTGCATAGGGATGAGCTGTGGGCCGGGCGCCCGCCCGCCGGGACAGAGCGCCATTGTCTGTGCGCGCCGTCTGATCGCCAGTCCTGTAGCCGGCCTGGGGAGGAAGGCAGAAGGTGGCTCACCCCAGACCTGTTCCTCTCCCCAGAAATCGGCCAGACCGCGGTGGGCCCCCAACTTAACTCCCCTACACACTAGCTCCGTAACCTACGCCTCAAGCCCGTTTCTTTCCCTGGGGCTCTGTCTCTTGGAGGTGAAACCTAGTCCATTGGAGTTGGTGCTCTTCCCACCCTCCTCACCTGTTAACCACGCCCCCTCCTCAATCTCTGTCCACTTTTTTTCACATTGCCTTGAGCCAATGAAATCTCACAGCTGTCTCTGGAGCCATTCACTTCCAGAACCCTGAAGGAAGTACTCCTGGATTCCCCAGGGTGGGTTGTTACTGGGCACGTGCCCCAGGGATCTTCTCTTCTGAGCGCAAGACCAGCCCAGGCCTTGAGTCCCTCTACCACGCCCCGCCGCACCACCCCCGCACCCGCGCCGCCCCACGTGGTCCAGGAGCCTGTGTCCATCCAACAGACGGTACTGGTTCAACGCTGGAGGAAAATACCTGGACAGAGGGCAAGGGAGCTCTGGGCTTGGAGCAGAGTCCCTCTTAGCTGGGAAATCGGTCCCTGCTTTGGGACGGTTCAGGCTGAGCTCCTGTAAATGGTCTTGAGACCCAGCACAGTGAGTCCCTGCTTCCTAAATGCTCTGAAGACTTAGCTCAAAGGCTGATGTCACTCAGGTGAAAAGCTCAGGTGTTTCAGAGACGATGCAGTGATGCTTCTAGGACTCATAATGGTTCGGGGTGGGGAGCAAAATCGATCAGGGCCAACACCAAAATAAGAACTGTCCCAGGAATTTGGGGTCTTCAGCCCCAGTAGGACAGGAGAGAGCTGAATGAGGGAGGAGGGAGAAGCTGCCGGCAGGGCAGGCAGTCTTCCTGGAGGCCGGGGTCCTAGCTACCTATCCATTTTAGTGTTGGCCCAGCCTTCCACTAAGGCAGAGCTCTTCTCTCCCCCTGGCTTTGATGGAGATCTGGGTGCAACCTCCCCATTATAAGAAAGTTGAGGTGGGGTTGTGGCGGTGGAGCCTGCCTTCCAGGGACAGCATTTGGGAGACTATTAGATACAAGTGGGGCCAGGGGACTTGGGCTGGGTGCTGAAGCATTGATACATGGTGCCAGGGAAACAGCTAGAGCTCTACCCACCTTCTCTCCCCACCTTTGGAAGCAGGTGCCCTCTGCTTCTCACCCTGCTGCTCTCTTGTCTAGGTCTCTGCTTCAAAGCATTCTGGGGCCTCCCAGCCTCATGGAAGCTCATCCCTGAGAGCCACCTCAGAAAGAAGCCAAATCCACATCCTCATGTGTCTCCACACAGGGGAAGAGCTCCAGCTGCCTGAACCCCAGAGCACACTCTCCCTTTTTTAGCCCTCCCTCTTTTCAGCCCTCTCTCTTTGGCCTGTATTTCCAGGGCCCTCTGGGTCTGCTTTGGCTGGTCTTTGGGTGCCTAGGCAGGACCCAAGCAGCCAGCTTGGCTCTGAGGCTGAGAGAGGAAGTGCGCTTTGTTGTGCCTGGGCATTGTCTGGATTCTTAAACTTGCTTTTCCCACCCTGCTCCTCTTGGCAGGAGAATCCTTAACTGGAGAAGCTGCCTGCCACCCGTTCCCCCGCCCCCTGCCCTCACGCACTCCCGCTCCGGTGTCCCCTCCTTCCCAGCTCAGCACCATCCATCTCCTTCTCCTCAGAGCAAGGAATGTCACTCCAGGACACTGTGGAGCTTGTTCCCAATCCCCTTCTAGCTCATTTCACTTGAGCTTTTACAGACTTGCCCTCATCCCACGGGCTGCTGTCTGAATTCTGGCTCTTGGAAGGACAGGGAGGTCTCCCCTCCTCCCTGCAATCCCTCACACTTCATTTTGTCCCAACACCATCTGAGGTGGCTGTGCCCTGCGGGATTAAAGGAACCCTGGTGTAGAAACTGGTGAGGGTCAGGGTCCCCATTCTCCCCATTTCTCCAGCCACTGAGGCTGCCCTCTGCTGTAGTGGACGCAGCGCTATACACCGTTTGCAAGCCATCC